AGCTACAAGAAGAACAATTTAAATTTAGCGCCGTTGTAACGATTTGTTTATAAAATAATATTTATTATATTAATTCAATAACTAATACTGTATTAATTTAACTATTGATTAATGTTTCAATGTTTACAAGCAATTAAAAAACAGTTTAAATTTGGCGCCTTTTGAACAATTCGTAAAAGATGAAATCAATTATTATATTAATTAATGTAACTGTAAAGCAATGCTGTTAGTGGTAGTAAAACTAGTTCAAGTAATTACAAGTTTTAACTTAACAAAAAGAAAAAATTAAATTTGGCGCCATTATAAAAATTAGTTACAAAATAATATATGATATTAAACCAATTGAATAACTGAATTATCTTAACTGTGAAGCAATATTTTTAGTAGTTTGCAACTAATAACAATTCATTCTATCTGATTCAACGTTCGAAAGATTAAATTGATTATATCGGCGGAAAAAATTGAGCATAAAGCAATTTACATAAAATAATAGAGAACTAGTTCTCGGTATTCCGAAGTGTATAATTATTATTAACACTCGGCATTGAACCGAACATGTTATTTGCACGATGACTTCATCGTTATCGAAGGTATTTATAGCGTGAATTATTACTGGAAGAACTTAATCAAAATATGCAAAACTCTAACAAAACAACAAAAAAATAGAGCATTTCGTTATGGTCGTCAATAACATTTTTATATAACTATTCGTAATACACTTTATTTAAGTGTTTTGTAAACTCTCAAAACGAGAACGTCTTTATAAGTAATCCGACGTTGTTGTTCTAAGTGGTTCTTAAATTGTCTTTCAAAAGTTTAGTTCCAATAAGTTTTGCTCACTTTAACTAAATGAATCTTTTCTTTATAATATAGAATTTATAGATCGTGGTAAATTTATAGCTATTCATAGTTAATGAATGAAATAGTGACATGACAGTTGATTTGAAATTGGATCCATAATAATGTCCAATAAATATTTAATTTTTTCTTTATGTTATTTAATTCTATATTTGGAATATCAATTTAGACGTCTGGCTTTACATTAAAATAGAATAGGCAATTACAATCAATACAAAGATGATTCATGGACAATTTCAGTTGAATGAACATAAAAAAGGATATATAAAAAACTTAGTAATAAAATGAGAAGACATCGGGGATGTTAATTAGTAATATGACCGGCTTCAATCAAAGTTCTATAATGTGTGTGCTTCTTCGCATTACTATTCAAGGCTGAATGCGACCCACATCTCATCCTTCTGATGAGGGCGATTGAGTGAAACAGTTCGGTATTGAAATCGATGCATTATTTTCTATTTTCGTCTACGTTCCGTTGTCTGCTTGTTAAAGCTCTAGGATTTGTACGTATATCTATGTGGGCTTTCAATTGGGCATTTTCGATGCGGTAATCAAAACCGCGAAATTGTGTAATCTCTCGGTCTACGTAATACGGCCGTAATGGTTTGTAATCACATCGCGAACGGCGGTCTCTCTACTAATCTATGGAAGCAACAAGCATTTCGGTCGTTCATGTGCTTATGTAACGATCGTATGTACAGATGCGTGTATTTATTAAATTGTGAATTACCCGGGGGGTCTTTTGGCGGATGCCTCCGCTGGAAGCGGCGACATTAATTAAGGATAGTAGGACAGAGGTTCATCAATTCAATCTTTTTACTTCAAATTCTGCTGCTCTTGCGCAACATAATGTTTAATAGATAATCAAATCCGGAAATGCAATAAATTCGTTGAAGATATTAAGTTTTTGATTGAGTTCTTGTAAGTTTATTAATTTTTGTTTTTAATAATGATGTAAATACTTAAAATTTAATTAGACTTTATTCTAATAGAATGTCTTCAAGTTAAAAGAGAGCAAACAGAAATGAAACAAATAATATATTACTAATTTAATGAAATTAACTCAAGCGGCGGATATATTCGCCCAACTTTTTATAATGCAAAATTATATGCAAGCGCAGTCATTGAATCTTAGTTCTTATTGGATTAATTGTAAAATTAGACCTAAATCAGTTATATACAAATAACATTGACTTACCAAATAAAATACTTAAAACAAAATGAACTATCATTTACAAAAAAAAACAATTAATATAGAAATTTTAAATTTTAGTGAATACAAATAATCTAGTGTTGTAATTTCAATTAAATAAATAAAATTTAAATTTAATTTTAGTAATGTACAGGTTTCATTCTACAAAAATATATATAATTTACATAACGTTACGTAAGTGAACAAAAAAAAATATGTGGTCTTGAGCGTATTAATTAGTCAATTTCATAAGATAAATCTTAAAAGTTTAAAAAATAATAAATTAATTATAATATAAAATTGTTAGTTAATAATAAAAAAAATAATTAATCACTTTCACAAAAATTTTAATGAGCCTTAAAATAAACATTTTATTAGAGATATACATCTATGTTTATAGTTTGTTCACTTAATTATTGTTTACCTTTTAAATTGGTGCACGTGTCAATTATTTCTTTCAACAGTTCACTTAATTAGTTAATTGGAGAACGAACGCAAAAATGGGTCGCAGATATTTCCAGGTCGATAGCCTTGTTACACACGAACGGCTCTGAAATTAATTTCATTCCTGTGTGTACATCAGACAGTTATGGTAATAATAATGGTAGTGTGGTATTTATTGCAACGTCCGAGCTAATACAAAAATAATAGTAATAGTGCGAAAGAGAGAGAGACGGAATGGGTGAAGTGAATGAAATATGTTGAAACCTGCTCCACGGTTTGGGCTATCGACCTTAGGTCGTTCGCCCTGTAAATCCTCTATCCTTTCGGTGTTCCGCTTTATAACATTCACGTTCGCAATAAATATATTTTATTATTATATCAAAAGCCTTTTTTAACTTCGATACTTTTAACCGGTTTTGTTTTAATTTCAATATTTCCAAAATACCGGTTTTTACAAAAAACATAGCTAAGTAATGAAATTAATAACAAATAGTAAACATTTGTTGATGAAATAAATAATTAATTTGTCTATATTAATTGTAATATATAAAACCGGTATTATAAATTTAAAAACCTGTATTAAAAAATGAGTGTAGAAAAGGTTTGTATTAATCGGTTTTTTAAATATCTATAAAACTAAAGGTTAGTCGTGTAATTCCAATACTGCAACTGCAAAACATTTAAGGTAAGTCCATTGTCGTGCCCAATGGGTCGTAACGAAGGACAAATGCGACGGTCGGTTGCAAAGGGTTAAAAAAATAGAGACATCCGGATGCGATCGATTACAGCAATTAAATGCCGACCGATTAATTACCCAATCGAAAACTATTTTCGGTGCGAGAGGCCTCCGGCATCGTTCAACCACAAAAGAGCACATTTATTGCTGCTGCTGCATTGTTTTTCTCCGGAACAAAGAAGCTATCATAATTCTTGCCAACTTTCTGTTACCTCACGAAACTTGTTACAAATTGCTGTTGTTTATTCAGCGCGGTCATTATTACTGTTTAATGTTCCTTATATGTACAAGATGAGGAAGGTATGTCTTTAGGTTGAAAAAGGAAATCGGTTCGTATTGCGTAACGTAATTTGGTCGTCGACATGCATACGTAATTCAAGCCGCTAAGTGGACGGACGGACGTAGCATTTTCGGAAGACATCTAATAATGTGTATAATTGAAAGCATTTAAAGCCAGAAATCGGTTTCCTGTATCGTGCGATAAAACACTCCGACGGATATAAAGAGAAGTGCTTTTTAAATAGTCGCTCCGACGTTAGATTCCAAATGATAGAGCAATGAATCTCACCGGATTTTATTGGAAATGTAAAAGGCGAGTTATCCATCCATCCTTCCTTCCCACCTAACTCTCTTCACTCCTTCGAACGAAGGGGATTCAAAGACTTTCGCATTAGTTCACCTGTCCGCTTTGTTGATTAAATTTGGGTTATATAATACTGGGGCGAATATTAATTAATTCACTAAAATCTCATTCCAGTGTCATACATTTCCAAACGCGCACCCTCCAAACTCGCAATGTATAGGTACGAAATGTTTTGGTCTTTGTGGTGTGTTGTCCCTCCCCAGCTGCTCGCACATAGACGTGTAGTGGAAGCTCCGAAACAAAACATTTTCCGAGCGACAACTTGGAAATGGGATTTACTCTGCCGCCGCTGCCACCTTTCTCAAAACTAAGCTCATTATGAAGCGAAAACAAGATATTTGCTTTGGTAATTATGAAATTGGCAATGTTAAACGTGTTACGCATATACAGTTTACAAGAATAGTTCATTTCTACAAATTATTCAATCACTTGTATTGAGGTATAATTTGCATCAAATGTTGAATTGTTATAATACATCTGATATTATGTACATTTGTTATATTTTTCAAAAGTATTCATTTCTTATAAATAATTTTCTAATTGCCTTTTTCTTATCATTTGGAGCGCCATAAATTTTACAATTTAAAATGTGTCAAGTATTTAATAATTGATATTCACTATATATATTTATCATTATAGAAATCAAACAAATTGATTTTTTTTTTAAGTATTATTTTCTTTAAGATTTTAGCAAATTTGCAAGTACTTAAAAGTCTATTAAATTTTGTTTATGATTAGAAGTTAAATTGTTTATTTAAATAAAAGTAACTTTTCTTTAGTGTAATTACCTATGGTGTACTTAAATGTGGCTCCTAAGTAAAATCAAATTAAACATATTATATAATATTCATAGAAGCAACAAGTTAACAAATATTTCCGTGACTCTCAAATAAATTTCGAACTGTTGTTATGGAAATAACAAAACTTTGCCAACCTATATTCAATAGGTGAAACAATTATTTAAATTATTTACTATTATTAATTAAAATTATGTATTTCTTTCTATGTACTTTTGCTACGAAAATTACAATAAATATTAATTATTATTGAAAAATATTATTGTTAATATTGGTGCTTATAAGAATATTAACTGTTACATTAAATAAACATCAATTAAAATAGATCAGTTATTATCATACTATTTATTAATTATAAAGATAATTATCATTCTCATCAGTTTAAGTTGAATTTGCTTTACATTTCTTTAAAAGGTGATGGTTTGACTAAATCCTCAATATCATTATCATCGGTTTTGGTTCTTTTCGTTTTTGTTTGTTTTTATCCTCAACGATTTTTTTAGAATCTCTTCCTTTCTACAATTGGTTTTTATACATTTGATTTTCGTCTGCACATTTCGAAGTAATGCTGCTTCCAGTTTCAGAAAGCGTGCATTTGCATTGTAAGCCTTTTTATACCTATGGGCTGAGATTAACGAGCCAACACTTTCTCTAGATTAGATAACCACAAAAAGAAATATAAGCAAACAATAGATTCAATTGGAGCAAAGATTTTGGAACCTCTTGACGATATCAAATGAATCAGACGTTAACACAACAATAGTGGGCGGAGAAACTTATGTTATATTTGGAGAAAATAATAATGAAGTTTCATACCGAGATTATACAGCATTAGGTTGCTCAAGTATAACACTACCTACAAAAAAATTGCTCAGCTTCTTGTTTCACAGGAATTCGCGAATTCCCGAATTCTCAAAATCCCTTGAAATCAAACAGGTGAATAATATGTTTGTAGCTTGTGTTATACTTGAATAATTAATTGCTTTATAATCTCCCTATGAATCTTTATTATTATTGAATCCAAATATTACATATGCTTGCCCTTCTTCTGTTATTGTATTAACGTCTGATTCAATGGATTTTTTTTTCGTGGAGACGTTCCAAAATCTTTGCTCGAATTTAATCGATGGTTTCTTTACATGAATTCCTTTCTCCGATTATCTCTTTTAAACAACGTTTCGTCAATGTCTTTCTAATTTTCTTTAATTCTTATTTCTTTCATTTTAACTGTTCTTTCGGGTTCCTTCTGTTTATAAAGCTGATTGCAAAGAGTCGTGGAGTGAATCATGGTTATCTGAATAATTAAATAATTATTAAAATTTAATTTGACACTAGGAAAAAATCAAATTATTTACCATCGACTGATATTCCAGTTGCTATTCTATATTTTGATCCACTCGATGCAATGACATCATTTCCTGGTTGATTTTTTTTTCATTCTTTTCCTTTTATAAATTATAGATTATTAGAAGGTGCTCTAAAAAGAAAAATTGGAATTAGATATCAGAAAATACTACAAAACTTAGTGTTTTGTAATAAAAAAAATAATTTGATAATGGTAGAAATTGCATATTCTGTTGGTACAAGTATAGTACACTATTTATAAAGCAACATTTTTGAGTTAACCTTCATACTGTTTCTACTAAATTTTTTATCTTTCGGTTCAAGTTTTTTTTTTTAATATTTAAATTGATATAAAGTATTGTTTTTTTGCATAAAACGAATAGTTCTACTTGATCAATGTAAAACAAACAAAAATAATTACAGGTTTATACTTTGAATGTAATGAAAATAATAGATAATAATTATAATACTTATAATAATCATACTTACGTAGGAATATTTAAAATTGAACACAAGAAGGACGGACAAATACTAGAAACTGATCTGACTAGAGCAAGCTACAAGCTGCTAGTGTGGACTATTTCATTTCTTTTCGACGAAAAGGTAAAAACGATGAAATTGAACAAAAATTAACTGATTTTTGCAAAGACGTTATTTTTTTAATTTGAACGAAAGATATTGATCCATGCAAAATTTGACAAAAATGTACTTAGTGCGAACAAAGTGTTTAAAAAAATATACATTGTAAATACATTATGTGAAAATTATACATTCATAATAATAGATAATTGTAAATGGGTAACGTGTTAATCCGCTTTATCTAAACGGCCGTAATTGCCGGTTACCCCTATAATCCGATATGTGCAACCAGTATTTATTTTCTATCTATAAATAACTATGACTTAATTCATGTTACAACTTGAATAAAATTTACTTCAATATAATAAAGATAATGTTTGATTATTTTATCCGTCAGATTTTACATGTTTTAATATTGTAGTTACGTTCCTGTAGCATATTTTATATATAATAAGAAATATGCTTAATAAGGATTAAAAGACTAATAAAATCTTACCAAACTTAAGCTATGATTTGTTAAGTTTATAATGTTCTGTAAAATTATAAGATTATTCAAGACGAGATATAAGTAAGAATACGTGACTAAGAGTGATTTCTTCAGGTTTATTTCTTTGTATCAAGTATATTTAGAAGTACCTTACAATCTTACTATCAAATTCCGCAATCATTTTAATAAATAATTGCGTTTATAAAAATAGCTTTAAGTCAATGAATCAAATGACTATTAACCACTTGACTATTATGTAATCATGTTAATACCAAAGTTCTTTTACTTTATTCATTTTAATTGGGAAGTTTTATTTCTAAATAAACATTAATCTGGAGTATTTTACAAATCGTCTCATTTTTTTTTTGCATAATAAACAAAGGTTTCTTGTCACCCATCCATCATACGTTGCTTAAATTTCGTAAGTTGTGAAACATCAAGTATCCGATAGATAGCGTAGGAAGGAATGAAGTTTACATTTTTTTTAAGAAGAGTTTTAATGAAAATGCTTTTGAGTTTAATAAACGTAAAACTGGCAGTTATTGATAACGGAAGCTTAGGTTGCAAGAAAGTCAGCGTGTATTACAACAAGCGAAGTGTTTGCTCTTAGCGCTTGGCAAATCTGATTACATTATAAAACGTTAACCGTGATCACAGAAAGCATGCAGCGATTAAGCTGTCGCGTCTGAGACTGAGGGTTTATTTGCGATGCAGGGTGCGTCTTTTTAGTTGGCGTTTCGCCTCTTTATAAGTCCGGACGGGGCGAAACAATCTTTATTCAATCTGAAACTGAAGCTGGAGAGATTTAGCCGTACATCTTCCTGACTTCAACTTGCGACCAGTAACATTTCCTTATTTTCCCTCGTCTACGTTACTTTTTTTTTTCTTCTCTCATCTCCTTTTCTGCTTTCCTTCCTTCTTTCTTGGGATAAGCCTAAAGTTCAATTTCCCCCCTTGCAGAAGCGAGAACACGGCCAGTTTTTAAGTTTGTTCATTCAGTTTAAGGGAACAAGTGATCCCCAGAGGTGTCGCAGCAGGATGTTACAAAGGATGAGCCCTGTTTACTTTGCATTCTGCATTAATAATTCCCGGTCGTCTAATTCAACAAGGGCGTGATTTCTTCTACTTATACACGTAACCCTCTGGAGATATACAACTCTAAAAATCCCGGAGAGTGAAGCAAAATCTATTTCAGAGTTCCGAAAATAATGATCACATTAATGCGTTTGTAATACGTTTTTAAGCGCGGTTCGATGGAATCCGTTCACATTTCGCACCTACGTTACGTGTATTATAACAACACATTCGGCTATTGTACAGACATGAAAGAGATAATTAAATTGGACAAAAGCATTGTGTGTGCATTCGCGTGTTTCGCGTGCCGTTATTTCGGATACAGGTATTTTTTCCTTCCATGTTATTTTCTCATTTTTTTTTCGCCTTCATTTTGTATCCCCTCGGGAGGGTGGAAGAAGAAAATATATATCTATATATGTGCTACACTTTCACAGTCCGACTCTCTTCTTTTTTTATCGCACGTGAACGCACTCACGTTTAAATACAAAATTCACGTGCCATCATCATCTGTATAAAAGATATATCCAGAAACGACTTTTACATAGCTTCATACCTTTTCAGGAATACTAATCATTTTTTCTTGCACTAAATTTGCGCAAAAAATATATGTGTGTACGTGCTCGTCCGACTATTCTTCACACAACGCTCTTTCTTTTATTCCTTTCATTTCGTTGTGCCTACTATTGATTTACGTGCAAAGATTAGTTATTCCTATACGAGCTGACATTCAGGATTACTTTTTTGTACTATTTTTATTACATTAATACTAAATAAATTTTAGTCAGAAATGCAAGTTTTTTTTCCAATTTATGTAACATAAATAAATCTTTGTGACACTATAAGTTAGAAAAGGACAGTTGTAGATGTTTTTACTGTAAATATAATTTCAATTCTAAACAATATTTGACATCTTGAATAGGTTAGAAATTTTGATTGAAAACTTTAACAAATGTACACATAAACCAATTTACACATAGTAGATATATTAATCAATATATTTTAGTATACTATAACATAATTAATTTAAGAATCATAAATGAAAAAAAACTGATAAAGTGTTGAATTCAAATCTTATTTTCTATAATAGATATAAGCAATTTTACGCTTTACATTATATTGAGCTTTAATAAAATTGAGACTGACAAAGCTAAGCTCCCTTTGTGTAATTATAATTAGAAGAGTTTCCTTCTATGAGATTTCTTCAATGCAGCGAATTTATCCGCAGTTAATCCGATCGACAAGAGATAGGTTTAATGTGTTTACGGATACTGCACTCCAAGTGGAAGCTTAACTAGACCAAACTACCGAGAGAGTTTTAGACGCATTGATTTTACCGACAAATTTCGTGTGGCGTGCAGGTGGGTATTACGCAAGAAAACATAACATTCAGCACAGCACGTCGGACTGTATTCATGAACTCCCATTATACCATCCATCTCGTTTTAACCGGCTGCCAGTTACATTCGCTCGAATGAGAGATGATTCATTAGAAGATCATTTCTGCTCGATTCGTTCAAACTTTAAACAATTCAACGCTTCTCACCTTCGTACCTGTTCGTTCCTCAAACCATATGACTCATTTAACTCTATAGTTTTTTGTTTTCATTCTCAAGACACATCAAAAGTCTTTTGTATGTTTCTTTGGTAATTCATAATAATACAACAGTTTAATATTTAATGAATACAATAGGTTTTTCTTAATGATTTTTCTGATACAAGAATCTTCTACCAAAATCAAAAAACATAATTATATAACTGAAATATAACGAATATACAGTCGATCTGTAATGCTGTATTTCATCACCAATTGTTGCAAATTTTAATGTGTTTATTCACATCAAAGGATCAAATGTTTGAAAAAAGTAATATTTAGAAAAACATAGAATTACAATTCATAGAACATAATTTCTCGATCTGGAATTTAATACCAATAAATCACAATCATGAATATTAAAAAAAAATACATGAAATATTAAAGATTAACAGATGTGAAAAATTCTCATTAAACGTTTACAAAAATGGATCAAAGGATTAAGACTGGATTCGTCAAAAATAGCTACATCTTTATTTTTAGTCAAATTGTTTTGTATGAAGACTATTTGAAGTGTACGTCTATTCTTAACATCTGAAACTTAACTGATATGTGACCGCAAACAATTTCACTGTTACATCAAAGCCGGGACGATCGATTTATTAGAGGCCCATTACAAAACCGCTCGTTGAATCCGATTGCTCATGATTTTTAAGTGTTGCGTCAATCAATTAATACCACTAATATTTCTAAACCATAATTATTGAATTTTTTATTTAACTAGATTATTTAACAAGGATTTACAGTTTGCGATTAAAACAATATTGTTATGTAATTTTGTGTGGAGATTTATTGAAATGTGAGCTATTATCCCTCGGATTTTTGTTTATTTTTGGTGTGGGTTGGAAGTGCTTAAGAGATGTGGAAGTCAATAGACTAAGGGACCCTTAGAATAAACAAATACAAAGCGGATTGGTTAATACGTTTCGAGATCCGAGTCAATAGTTGCGCGAGAGAGGACACTTTCAGTTAATATAAAAATAATATGTTTTCACAAGAGTGGCATGATTCATCTTTCGGTGCAGTGTAATAATGTCTCTCTGGTCATCACGCTTGATTTATTACACTTGCCGTTGTTAAATTAATCAATCAAATCGTTTAATTAATTTAAAACGTAATTAATTATGTATACATTTTTTTAAAAGCAATGCAATTATTTTTGTGCATCGAAATTTTGTTTTCTTTTTTTTTAATTAATGAAACATAATTAATTACTGCACTGTGATCATGTTTGTTTTGTGCATACAGAATGACTAATCTTTTTTTATAGTTCCATATCCTGCATGATCAAATCGCGATCTAGCGCAGATCTGGCCATTAATCCGATTGGATCGAGAGTATACAGTCTATATAATTTCGTTATTTACCTGACTACATGTTAGTAGTCAAATCACGGCGGCGTGACGTAACGGCGTAATTGTGGATTTTGACGTATTAATCAATTTTAGTGTTGTGATATATTTATGCGTGTCAGATTGCGTACCGGTAAATTCGAATTAATCGAGTAGTTTCAGGATATTCGATCGGTTTCGAATTCGACACGATTACGTTCAATTATTCCAGTACACACGCGTGTATGTATGTTTGTTAAACCTGTCAGCATATCTCGCACGAGTAATTATTGGTAACATTGAAAGGATTTTATATGAGAATATAGCTTGTAACAAAAGAGGAGAAAAAAGTCTTTTGGGACCTTATATATATTGTAAATTATGTAAACCAACCGATAAATTCTAAGGCAATGTTCATACATCAAAGGTTAGGTGAAAAATTTATTGGTATTGTCGCTGTAGCGGAGCCTCTTCGCAAATAATTTATGAAAAGATGAAACGAATTTTTT